ATCCAAATCAGGGACATTTAGTCAAAGATTGGATAGACCTTGAGCTTGAAAACTAAGGGAAAGTTTTCAACATTTTCAATACTTGGGAAGGGAAAGGATCTCCATATTTAGGAAACTATGAGTTGTTCTAAACTCACTGTATTTTGGGGCCGGCCCGTGGCTCACTCGGGAGAGTGTGGTACTGATAACACCAAGGCCCCGGGTTTGGATCCCTTTGCAGGGATGGCCGGTTAGCTCAGTTGGAGAGCGTGGTGCTGACAACACCAAGTCAAGGGTTAACATCCCCTTACCGGTCATCTTTAAAAAAAACAAAAACAAAACTCACTGTATTTCATCTTGAATTTTCTTTTTCTGTTCTCCTGAGACAAGGGGAAACTTACTTGTGAAGGCAGTCCATGCTTTCACATTGCCTCTGAGCTCTGGTGAGGCCACCAGAATGCCACATGGTAGCTACACTGTGTGTGTGTGCCTGTGCACATGTAACATACATCTCTACCCCTCTTCAGTAGTGAACTCTGGGCCAGGGCCAGGCCTTGAAAGAGTGTGTAGGGGCTTAAGAACTTCATGTTCTTCATACCTTTGTCTTTTGAGAGAGACAGTAGGTAGGTAAGATTTTCCCAAGTTCCTCACAACATTACACTCTAGAAAAAGGGCCTTATGCTTAAAAGAGACCTGATATATATACCCCTCATGTCCCTGGCACTGATGGAGCCTAACAAAAGGAGAAAGGACTTGGTCTGTAAACCTCTGTGGCCTGGTACTCTTGTGATATCTTAATTTTTCCTCCCCCAATGACGCTCTACTTTAGCTGCAAAAGAACTTAATGGAAACTCAGAGAGAGTATGTCCCCTGGCTCTTAGAGAGTAGGAGGAGACGAAGATGTGACTCACTGGGGGCCAGAGGGCAGACTGTGAGCTCTAAGATGACCTCCAATGATTCTCTCCCTCCTGGTATTCATGTGCTTGTGTAGCACCAACCCACACTGATTAGGGCTGACTCGTGTAAAAACAGAATATTGCATAAATGATGGAGTATGACTTCCCAGGCTAGGTCATAAAAGACAATGCAACTTTTGCCTTGTTTTTGCATGGATCACTAGCTTTGGGGGAAGCCAGCTGCCATGTTGTGAGGACACTCAAACAACCCTACGGAGGTCCACATTGTGAACTGAGACCTCCTGCCAACAGCCAGCACCAACTTTCTAGCCATGTGAATAAGCCATCTTGGAAGTGGATCCTCTAGCCCATTATACCTTCAAATAACTGCAACCTCTTGAAAGAGCCTGAGCCAGAATTACCCAGCTAAGTCACTCCAAAATTCCCGACTCACAGAAACTGAGATAATAGATACATATTTATTACTGTTTAAGCTAAAGTTTGGGGGTTACTTTTTACTTAGCAATAGGCAACTAACAGGTTAGATGAGTGTTTTGTATGATGTTTTGTCACTGAAATTGCTCTAGGTTTGCAAATCATTCCTTCAGAATCTGGCTGGTTCCTCTGAAGCACCATGCTTACCACATCTCCTGTGCTTCTTATTCTGGTGAGTACACCAGAAAATTGGCTTCTCCCAAAGGATGAATAACTAAGAGTGATACCTTAATACTCTCCCTATAAAATAAACTATTATAATAACCACAGAGAAAGGAAACCTCTTGTTATTTTCATTTCACTTTTTGAAAAAAAAAAATCTAAGCTTAACCGTGAGTTTACCTTACTTTGCTCCAAGGCAAATCTTCAATTTTTTAAAAAATAAATGTTTTATTTAAATATAACACACATACAGAAAAGTGCATAAATCATTAGTGAACATCTTGATGAAATATTACAAAGTGAACACACCCATGTAACCACCACCCAAGTCAAAGAAACAGAACACAACCAGCCTCCTAGAAGCCTATCCGGTCCCCTTTCACCAGCTCTCTTCCCCTTTCCTGAAAGTAGCCATCATTCTCACTTCTCACATCCTCTATTACTGTTAACCTAATATAAATGGAATCACACAGTATGCATCCTTTTGTGTCTTATTTCTTTTCTTTTCTTTTTTTTTTTTTGGTCCTTTTTGAGACCAGCCGCACCGCGCTCAGCCAGTGAGTGCACCAGCCATCCCTATAAAGGATCCAAACCCACGGCGGGAGCACTGCTGCGCTCCCAGTGCTGCACTCCCAGTGCTGCACTCTCCCGAGTGCGCCACGGGTTCAGCCCTTGTGTCTTATTTCTTTTGCTCAATTTATTTGCATTTTTGATTTAGGATTATAAACATCCTGCCTAGTTGCCATTAGTATTTGCTTCACCTGCTATTTTAGATAAACTTTAGTGGTAGCCACAGACTTTTGTTCACAGACACACTAGAGAGAGTGAAGATGCACATATGTATTTAAGAGAGAAAAAGCCTTCCAGGTCTTTACTGGAATTTCACTGAATCTGTGCCTTCTTTTGTGTGCCTGTGGATAAGCTGCCTCATCATCCAGTTGTTGCTGTGCGGATTTAGTGGGATGTAAGGATACTCTGTAAATTATAAAACACTACACATATTTCAGGTGTTTTTTTTTTGTCCTTTTTGAGACCAGCCGCACCGCGCTCAGCCAGTGAGCACACCAGTCATCCCTATATAGGATCTGAACACGCGGCGGGAGCGCTGCTGCGCTCCCAGCACCGCACTCTCCCGAGTGCTCCACGGGCTCGGCCCTCAAGTGTTGTTTTGATGTCAGGGTTCATCCTGGTACCCAAGAGATGATGAACATGGTTCTTCGATTCTTCAGGATGATCTATCAGAGCTCACAGACTGGAATGGAAGTTTCCGCAGTCTGTCAAGAAGGACTACATTTTTTTTTTTTTTTTTTTTTTGGAGGTGGGAGATGAAGGAGACAGAAAGGTAGGCAATGTCGGGCACTGAGATTTAGAAAAGTAGCTATACGTGTTCTTGGTTCTTTGTAGGATCCATCTGGGGTGGCTTCCTGCAGGAGCTGGAATTCTAGAGTTAGGAAATAGGGTTTCCACAGTTATCCTACAGTGAGGGGAACTAGTTTGTACTGAGCATTGGAATTCTATTCAACAAGCACAACAGCAGCTCAACCTTCTAGTTCAGCCTGCTACAACCAGTCATTTACTGAAAAAATCAGGATTATCTACCAAGAGACATTACAATCTTCCAGGGGAGGCCCTTAGGAAATAATTAGGCAGCAAGATAAGCCCACAGTCCAGTTACACTTGAGGGAGTCGGGAAGTGCCTTGCGGGTACAGAGTGGGGTGGGATCATTCCAGGCTTGGGCAGCTATTGGTAGAAGGATGCTTGGTAGGGCCTTTGGTAGATGTTAGGAGTCAGGGGTTTCAGGGCTGGAGGCGACTATTTTCTCTCCCCAAAAGAGAAGGGAAGATAATTAAAAAACAAAACAAAACAAAACACCCAGGCTCCAAGGCAGCCGCCAAATCCTTCTATGTTCCCCCAGCGCACACCACAGAAAGCGGATCCACACTCTCCTTTAAAGGCCAACCCTACTTCCCGGCTCCCACACCTCCTCCTTCACCAGAGGGTGGCAAAGGATTTATAACCTACCTCTTTCTTCCCGTTGCCATAGAGACCAACCCAGTCCTTTCATTCCTTTTGGTACCGGGAACATCTCTCCAACGCAAGCGGAATGGAGGGAGCTTAGCCCAAACATGCTGGGGGAGGGGCTGGCGTCCTCGACCGCAGCTGTGGAACCAGACCGAGGGCCGAAGGCTAAGGTCAGCTGCGGCTCAAGCCCTTTGGTCTGTATGCAACTGGCGGCTAGACCCTGCAGGGGCACCGCTGGGTCGGAGGACTTCACGAGCCGGGAAAGGACTGTACGGGGGAGTGGGGGCGAGACTCGGGGGCGCGCGAGCGCGTCCCGGGAGAGTTCTGGTACTCGGGGGCACAGTAGTGTCTACCGGTGGAAGCGGGTGCAGAGGGAAGAGGGGGCACGGCCCCCCCACCCACGTGTACATTGGGCGAGGCCGCCATCGCTCTCCCCCGCGACCCCACCTTCTCTTCCTCCGCTGAGCCCAGATCCTCTCCTCCGCCACCCACCTGCCCTTCCCCATCCTGGGGGCCTCTCATTGGACCGAGACACTGTCGATCCGCCTCGAATCAGGAAGCCGATTGGAAGCGAGGCCTTCGGAAAGCCTCCATCCTGCTCGGATT